TTAAAACCGCTCGCTGCGTCCTCCCGGACCAGCTGGACCGGACCAGCTGACGACGACGGGACTGTACCCGTTGAACCTCCACCCCGCAACAAACAATTTGCGCTCCGTGTTAAAAGCGCGGTTCAAACAGACCCGGAATACAAAACACCGCACCACACACGACGAACGTTTCAGCTCTTTTTCGCATCGCCCTGTTGCACCAAACCAGAACGAGATCGCCGAAGTCAACGCCGCGCTGTCGTGAACCTTGGCTTGTGGTTGCGCAATCGTGGACCCTGTGACTCCCTTCGCTTTCAAAGCACACACGATGATTACGAATGGTACTTTCCGTCTTCCGGGAACATCACAGGGGCACTTCTCCGGTCACGTCTTCACTATGTGCTCGCAAACTGCAAAGCTCTATGCGAAGCTTCTCGCGTCCCGTCAAACCAAAACAATAGCGGCGCCATGCGTACTTGCCATACTTGCCAGATTTTCTCCGGTCTAACAAAAACAACGAAAGCCAACCGGCTCTTGCTTCCACCGTACATCGGCGTTGCGCTTGCGCCGTGGCCAGATCGCTTGCAGTTGAAGCAAAAACGAAACCAAGTGCAATGTCACGCGTTCACATCGAGGACACGCTTTTTATATTCATTTTAACTGTTTGGAACGAATAATTAGACCCATGACTTTATTTGTGGTGTGTAAGAAACTATTATCAAGACCAGTAAGCTAAATACCTCGTTTTTAAATACAAACATAGGCGACATGAGGGAAGCCGCATTGCCATCGACCAGAAAATGGCGGCGAGCACGGTAAGAAGCGCGGGTTACGCCAACGTCCTGCGACGTGGCGCAATTGCTTTTGGTGCATATTTGTCTCCGAGACATGTTTCTTTCCGCGGCATTTGTCTCGACGGTCCTTTCTAGGTGTGTCCCCAAGCATTCCGGTGCTTCGACAGCCGGCAATGCCGCGGTCGTCGCCGGGGGCGATGCGTGTTATCGAGGTCGGCTACACGGTTATGCGTGTATGACCGAACCAAAACACGTTTTTTACAACCTCGCATGATTTCTGAACGAATTATCCGTTACTGATCGTGTAAAATTATGGTAATTTGTGTAAATGGCGTGTTTTTCACCCCAAATACTCGCCAAATACACGGGACTTGCTAACAGTGTAGAGCAAGAAGCTCGCGCTTGTAGCCTTTTCTGCGGTACATCATAAGGTGAAACAGAGTATAGCAGGCGGTGAAGGCAATGGCGGCGCTACTTTCGCAGGATCCTGCGTAGAAGAAGAGGCCGAGGATGTCCGGTAGCGGTAGCGTGGCGCGGGCGTCGACTCGCGGCTAGGCCCCAGGCCCGGGGCCGGTGCCGGCGGCACCAGCTTCGGCCCACGGGCACCGCGATCCCCACAGGGCCCACATGAAGCGAGCCCCGGCTCCCTCGGGCACCACCACACGCCAGCTGACTCCGGAGGAGCAGCGGCAGCAAGCGGCCCTCAAACTCACCAAGAAGGACAGGCGGGCTGTCTCGGGGTATGCCATCTGAATGGACAGCGTCTGCCGTTCACCGTTTTTACATTAGAGAGCTTTAAGGAACCGTTTTTGCGCATCCGATACGGTACGAGAGGCCCTCCGGTAGCCTTCTGTGAAACGGTGTATGTATTTGCAAAAACGATTCCCTAAAACTCTCTCTTATGGAGTTCTAGGGACTCTCTCTTAGGGAGTTTTAGGGAACCGTGCACAGCTGTGGCCGCTGCAGTGAATACTCCCCATAGGGTCGTCCGCGGTTAATCGTAAGGTGAAAAGAAGTATGGCTCTCGCACCGTTTTCCAATACAAGTCTCGCACCTGACGTCTTCGCGTCATGCTGGTGGCCTTTCTTGGGCTGTGTTCCAAATCTTACCCAAATGGATCCAAGTTTCTCTGCCGAATCGTATCACGTGATAGCATACATTGAGAAACGCTGGACGCGGGTAGGTTTAAGAACGCCAACGGTACAAAACCCTTACCCTGGAGTAAGATCGAGTAAATTTTGGAACACGGCCTTCGTGTTCTTAATTGTCGAGCTTACTGAGCACCATAATTGAGTGCGGTGTTCAGAGCGCGGCCTCGGAACGAAGCCCCCTCTTATCTTCTGAGAAGAACAATAATCTTTGTGGCGTGCAATGCACGTTGCGGAAGCGTTGTGGAAGCCCGTTCTAAGCCCGCGCTAAGCAGCAACGGACGCAACTATGGCCGCCAGCGGATACCACTAGCTTTAGATATCTACTGCACAAGGTATACGCGCTCAGCAGCAAGACCACCACAATGTCCGCCGATATGAGGTCAATGAAAGCTATTAAGAAGCCTTCTAACGGGCTAGGGGCCCGTTAGAAGGGTTCAAGAGCAACAATGGCTGTCTGGGCGATAACCCCTATTTTGGACAGGTAAACGCTTGCCGTATACCTTCAATTCAGGATGTCGACAGTTCGCATTTGTGATTACCGAGTGAAGTTCAGAGTTCACCGATGTGTCATGTGTCACATAAAAACACATCGTGTACTGCACGTCATGGAGCTAGGCCCGTTCACACAGTACCGGTCGTTTGCTCAGGTTGCGTTATGTTACAGGAGCTTGCTTACGCCGTGAGCTACCGGAATGTCTCTGCATCGTACGCAGTAGTGGCAACCAGTTTAAGGTGTAGCTTCGCAAGAAACATACAAAGCACGGATGTCCTGATGACTCAAAACGTGACGTAAAAAGAACCTAAGCAAACGCTCCTGCGTGCTTTGGGCCTTCCGTGGTGCAGCTGGAACGCGTTTTCGACTGTTCCTTTAGCCGCGTCCTTAAACGCGGTCCTTCAATTTCTGCCTGATGACGTCGGAGAAGTGTCATGTTGTTGCCGGTCGCGATCCTGGCGGTGTCGTATAGCAGCGGTGGTGGTTGTGACAGACGCTTGTAATTCCTCTGCATGTCGCTCTTCACCTTCCATGGAAATTTTGGCAGCCAGGGGGTTGGAACGCCCGGCGCGATGAAATCGCACACTCGCGTTCTCTCGTGTCTTTTTTCCCAGAACGTCTACGCCCAACCGCTAGGATCGCGACATCCGACATGACGCCCCGTCTTAGCGTGACGTCATCTGTTGGCACTTATGAACCACTTTCAAATTCCCAAACACACCAGTCGCAGAAGTCCCGAAGGCAGCGCAAATGGAATCTGTAGCTGTTCTGCACGCTGCAGACTTTTTTTTATTATCATTGATTGTTGTTTGCAGGCAGGTTTCCTTTTCTTCCAACACGGTGGACAACGAGGGTTTGAACAAGAAAAAATCCAAGTGCTGCTGCGTCTACGTCAAGCCCACTAAATTTGGAGAGTCCGAGGAAGAAGACGACGATGAGTGCGCCAACTGTCGGGGTCACACCAAAGTGCGTCGCAAAGACGGGAGTCTCCGCAGTCCGCCGCCAGAAGGAGCCCATGGCGGCGCCGGCCCCAGCAAAGGGAAGTGAGGGCAAACAAGGACTGAGCACAGAAACCGCGAAAAGTTCCTCGCAACTCCGGATTAGCTACTGCGCCGGTGATGTACTGGACAGTTCCAATGCTACAAGTGTGAAGATTCCCTTCAAAGACCGTTGGCCTACAGCTGCTATACGATGTGCGATTTCTGGTACGGTGCAGCCCCAACACGGGAAAGCGACGGCAAAGAAGTTGTCAGAGTACAGACACGTCGATAAAGTACTGAACATTTCCAACGCAACAAGCGCGAATTAAGATACCCTTTAAAGACCGCGGCCTGTCTGCTAGGATGCGTAACTTATGGTATGGTGGAGTATCCAGCACGGGAAAGCAACGGCAAACGAAGTCGGCTGAGTACAGAAGCGAGAAGGTTCCTAACCGCTCCGGATTTGTAACAACGGCTCTAAGTGCAAATATATCCTTCAAAGACCGTTCGCCTAGTTGCTGCGATGTGCGACTTCTTGGTATGGTGCACCTCGCAAATGATAAAAGCCTCAATTTCTCCATGACCCACACATATTGTTTTTGAACCTAATATTGACTGTTAAACCGGTCCGACTCAACAAAATAACAATCTCCTTACGATGCACAAATTTCAGCCAAATAACAACAATCCGACGATTAAAACCGATGGTTCGGGACTAAAGCGAATGCCCGCCCCTTGTAGCCTACGGTTAAGAAAATCATCCAAGATGCACGATCGGAGATTTACAGCAATTGTCATTGCAGTTGTCGCAGAAAACTCTTGGTCCATAGGCGTCAATCCGTGCTCCGAGCTGAACACCGTGACAGCCGGACACAACGGCTTGTGAGAGTTTCAACAAGCTTTTGACCTAAGCCAGCACGTTCTACGGTACTCCACTTCGGCATATGTTCCTTTCTTTTTTTAGTATTGCTCACGTACCACTGTTAATGCACTAGGACAGCTATAATACTTGTTAATGGATACCTTGTGGACATGGAAATGTGCATCTTGAACGATTTCACAAATTAGAAGACAGATACTTGTTTGGCACAAGTGATATTTATCAGTGGTGCGCTTTATCGTGATCTTGTATGTGCAAAACCAATTCACATGATAAGATAGTTTTGAGCAGAAATTTCGTCATCTAATAAAATTCTGCACCATAGCTTTTCCTAAATGGAAGTAAAACAAATTTAGTTTCACACGTGCCTTATGTTCGTCTCTATATTCTGTTTCATACTTAGCGTGCAACGCTGTCAAAGCTACTGGCGCGAGAGTGGGGCTTGATCTCGCTGATCATTTGCACGCGTTCCCGCGCAAACAACACCATAGATGAAGCCACGCGCTCGCGCCAGTAGCTTTGACAGCGCTGCACGCTAAGTATGAAACAGAGTGTAAGTACCATTTGTCCTTTCATTCGTTGAATAAATTTAAAAACATTAAAGTGTTTTTCTTTTCTTTTCTTTCACCTGGGGACACGGGTGAATGATTCAACGAAAACCTCCATAGAACTGCTTCCACCAGGTATAAATACACTGATTGCAATAATACAGAAAACGTGCAATTATGCGCCTGCAAAAATATTGCATCGTTTATTCGACTAAAAGAAAACTTGTTTTACTTAAAACTATGCATACATGAACTCCTAGATATCTCATTCATCAGGCCCTCGGCATGATTCGGGTGGACCTGTTCAAGGAAAGTCCAGCATCTGAAACGGAATTCAAAGAAGAAAACGAATGTTGCACTTAGACTCACTAAATGAGCTGCGCTTAGAGTATCGGCACTCCGTTCCCCAACATTGTTGTGGGCGCCGCCATTTTGGCTTGTATGCAGTGCAGGCGCAACTGCCGATCGTCATGATTCAAAAGTGCGACTTCCTCAGCATTAGGTTCGGTGTTAGGAAGGTCATGTAATATTGCTTTGCTCTGTCGCGAACTGTTTAAACATTTGTGGAGGGCAGAAAAGAGTTTCCTGTGATTTCAGATAAAGCTTCAGATAACTGGCAACTAGAGCCACTAAATAAGCTGCGCTTAGAGTATCGGCACTCCGTTCCCCGACATTGTTGTGGGCGCCGCCATTTTGGCTCGTATGCAGAACAGACGCAACGGCCGATCGTCATGATTCAAAAGTGCGACTTCCTCAGCATTAGATTCGGTGTTAGGAAGGTCATGTAATATTGCTTTGCTCTGTCGCGAACGGTTTAAACATTTGTGGAGGGCGGAAAAGCATTTCCTGTGATTTCAGATAAAGCTTCAGATAACTGGCAACCATGCTTTTAAGCCACAATATGGCCAAGTGTCGTTACTCTGAAGCGTAGCTTATTTAGTGGCACTAAGCTGCGCTTAGAGTACCGGTACTCCGTTCCCCAACATTGTTGTGGGCGCCGCCATTTTGGCTTGTATGCAGTGCAGACGCAACTGCCGATCGTCATGATTCAAAAGTGCGACTTCCTCAGCACTAGATTCGGTTTTTAGGAAGGTCATGTAATATTGCTTTGCTCTGTCGCGGACTGTTTAAACACTTGTGGAGGGCAGAAAAGCGTTTCCTGTGATTTCAGATAAAGCTTCAAATAACTGGCAACCATGATTTTAAAGGGATACTTCAACGAAATTTGAAATATTCCCGTCGTGTTCAAAAATAGGTTGAATATGATCCACAATATCTGTAAATGATAATCGCACGTTTGTATTTTGAGCCTCCCCCATGGCTGTATTTTTCGTTATAAACGGCCCACTCTGGCAAGCGCTCGGAGAAGGCCCAGCGGAGACCACGTGACATCCAACGCAATCGTGACGTAGGTCGCCTCAGGATGAGCAAAGCTACGGCGAGGCTGACGTCGAGAGGATGGCCTAGTCGTTCCAGCCACCGAAGCGGCTGCTTTTGTACGAATTTTGAGTGACGGGTTAATCTTCTGTAATCTTGTAGGGGGACAATAGCGACTTCTGCGACACACAAAAGGCATTCTCAGGAAGAGGGGAGTTCCTCCTGCCCCTCTTCTCTCGTCGTGGCCAGAGGCGAGAAAACCTCCGTCACTATCTGTCAAGGTTCCTAGACGGGCATTACAAGCGAGGCGTTGGCGACATCCACCAGGTGCTCTTTGCCAATCGTTTAATTCGTTTTAAAATTCTTTTTCGTGACTTTTTTAACAAGAAATTGGTATGTTCGATGTGATGCTGCTCCTTTGAACACATATAGACAAAAAAAAAAATGAGCGCCGCAATTTCGTTGCAGTATCCCTTTAAGACACAATATGGCCAGGTGTCGTTACTCTGGACCGTAGCTTATTTAGAGGCATTAGTTGCACTATCACTGCCAAAACACAACACACGCCGCGCACGCGTCATCTGCGCCAACATGTCTGTGCACTCGTTCGCCAATTCTTCAATAGTAAAGAGGCCCGGTCCGTAGCCTCTATACAAATGAATGTTAGTTAGCGGGCTTCCCCATTTATGCTGAAGAACAAAACATTCAGGGGTTTTCCACGAAGAGGTGAGACGTTTGTAATCTGCCAGAAATCTTACGCACGGCCAGAATAAGGAGGGTTCAATTTTTCTGATGTGGCATTGCAAGGACGCTCGAGGCAGCTCCTGTTGCTTCTAATATCCCCACAGCGTGAACAGAGGTAGTTAACTGTACAAGTAGCGGCGTGGTGTTTTGGTGGCGCCCCTTTATGGTTTCCTCTCGTGACGTTATTACCTTGCGAACAAGAAGTTCGATGGTGTTTGTAATGAGCATGGTGGAAGCTTGCAATCATTGCGCTCTCAAAGGAACACTGCCAACACCGTCAAAATTGAAGCTCTTCCCTTACTCTTATTTCCGTCGATAAGAAATCCTTCGCTGACGTCATAGTCAGCATTCGGCCAATAGTGGAAGGAGCACGGAGCACGTGGAGCGAAAGCTCGCGCTGCACAACCCATGAATCCTGGGTTCAACCCCCCCCCCCCCCCCCCCCCCCCCCCCTCCCTGCCCGTTTCGATCTGGATGAGCATCGTACCGGCGTGCGGTCGTGTATCACTACTGCGTGATGCACGTTAAAGACCCCAGGCTACCGGTTGTACTGCAATGGCTAAATTTCTCATCTACAGCTCATCTACGGAAGTTAGTCAGCTCATTAAGGCTGACTAATTTCCGGCTGTATAAACATACGTACAACACGACTATTATTTTACGATGCCATTTGGCATTAGGATGTAACTTGTAGGGTTCCGTATTTCGGGAGTTTATTTCACTTCGATTTCAGGGGTGTTTCTATCGGGACTTTTTTTATCTCGCAGGTTCAGGGTTCAGTGTTTTTGGGGGCAGTTTTCGGTGTCCGACGAGAAATCGGGGCTTATATTGATGAAAATAGGACAAGGGTGTGAGATTTCCAAACCACACAGGGACATGCACGTGAGCTAAATACTTGGAAAACGTCCATGGTACTGATAAGAAAAGCGAACGAAATAAGAGACGCGATTCTCCCTTTGCCCCCCCCCCCCCCCCCAAAAAAAAAAAAGACACTATAAAAATTAGAACAGTTTAAGGAGGCTTGTAATGTGGGCCAAAAGAAAATAAATCTTAAAATTTCTTCCCGTAGAGCTTGGTGTTTTCTTAATCAGCTTCAATTCAGGGGTTTTCGGTTTTGCCCTGATTTTGATAAAAACAGGCTCGGGGTTATTTTTCGGTGCTTATCGGTATTTACCAAAAACACGGAACCCTTGTTTTTATTTTTGGTGTTTATTTTTCTAGCATTTCATTTTTTTTTATTATTTTTTTTTTCGGGGTTTACTTTTTTACATATTTGGTGGTTTTCCGTATAATGTTTTGGTGTCGGAGGAAAAAAAAAATCAAGCTTTACCGGGGCTTAATATGACGCGGAAATAGGATTCCCCCATCCTCGAGCTATTTGCACTTTACCCGAATACTTCGAAAACGTCCCGGTAGCGATAAGAGAAGAAAACGAAATAAGGGGTGTGGCTCGAAGGACTTCCAGCCTCACGGAAAGTTTAGTGAGGCTCTGTTCGAAGTTATCACGAAATAAAACAGCACGTACAATTTTCTTCTCGTAAAACTTGTTTTTTTTTTTTCTCCTGAACAGCTTCGATTCTAGGTTTATCGGTTCTCCCAGATTTTGATAAAACCACCTCCGGGGTTAATTTTCGCGGTTTATCGGTATTTGAGGGAAACACAAAACCCCATACTCATTTTCATCCCAAAAAACCGATAAAAAAATTAAATAAACCTACAAAAAGTCCGGCTTTTTGCGGAGCATTAGTGATTTCCTCCGTCATGCAGAAAATTAGAATATATGTAGGTGCGTTTTAGATTAGATACGTGTTTATCTTATCAAAATATACACGCTTCAAACGCTAAGAACATCGCTTCTTCTTCCGACAACCAAATCTTGTAAGGACTATACTTTTCACGGCATATGACCAATGTGCGAAACTTCCCTCTTTCTTGAAGTGAAAGTGAGTATAGATATAAATAACAGCTTGAGTTTTTTTTTGTTTTTACTTTATATTGAAGTGTTTTAGGGGATCGGCGGGAACCTCGTATAAAATCTCGGTTGAGGTAAAAACTTTCATAAATGCAACTATCAGTGCAAAGTGACGTCACAATAGCTCTATCTACAGCCTATCTAAGGCGTATCCCTGGCGGTTCCGTACATATGTAAGTTGTACCTACACTAACGCAAAGCGTCGTTAAAATAATTTCTTCCAGATAACATATTCTATCTACAGCCTACCATGCTGCATATTCACTGGCGGCCAAACATGAGTGCGTAGCTGCTCAGGCTATGGATCAGCGCGTACTGACGGCGAGCTTCCAGTGTTTCTGCAACGTGCATTTCATATACCAACAAGGCTCATGCCCAGTGAACAACGCTTTCGAATACGGCATCCAGTGAGTACTCTTTTATCGGCTGTGTAGATTGGTATCATAGTTGTGTTAGTATTTTCACTGAGCAACTCACGTAACCAGCCCTTCTAATTAATTACTTGCAAATCCCATGCATAAAAAGTTTATATATATTTATTTCATCATATCGACTGGAATCTAACAAAATGCCGCCCCTTTCCAGCCTATGCTCATACATTCAGTAAATTAAAAAGCAATAGGGAAATCTGATTTTCAATCAATGTATCGTGCTCCACAGACCAGAAAGAGCAACTAGCGAAGTAGTCTTTCATTAATGAGTAATACTTCATTTACGCTCACGCCAAATCAAATGATCAATTGCTCTCTCGATAGTGCATCTTTATCACAGTCATACAGATCTTACCAACTGTGGCAAAATTTTCTCCAGGTGCTCCAGGGTAACCTCACGGTCCCCCTGCAGCTGTAAAGAGTGACATTACTTGAAGCCTTGCTGCACGTCGGTTTGTTTCCAACTCCTTACCTTTGCTTGCATGGCTGCCCTTGCGGCACCCTCTAAACACGTAAAAAAAAATTAAAAAAAGAATAGGGAGCATTGAATTAGAGACAGGCTAAATACCAAGCTATTCAGCTGCCAACTTCACAGCGTAATTGGTGCATTCGAGAAATGTAGCTTCTTTGTGCCAACTCCCGACAAAAAAAGAGGTGATGTAGTGATTAACGATTTGCCACTTATATCAACTTACCATGAGCCAGAAGCCTAAGGATTTCGCATGTGAGTTTGAGGGCTTGTGCATTCACTAAAACAAAGACACACAAGTATTTAAATGACACAAATCATCATATGTTTTATTTCTACACATGGTGTACGTGGGAATGGTGGAATATTTACATCATTATAAATTAGTTGTGAAACATTGCTACCGTTATAAGCCAAAACATCGGAGAAAGGGACTCACTTTTTGTCTTCTCGTCTTGGAAACCCATCAACATCAACTCCTGAATCGTTTTCTGAAAGAGAACGACGTGCAATTTGTGAGCAACTGAATTTAATCCAGCAAATAGGTGGCTGCAAGACCGAAGATCTCTTGCGGATTTCACGGTTGTGCGGAATAAGAGATTAAAAACGGGCTCAACACCAGGATCTTTTACCGTTTTGAAAGTTGGAGTATCGTAGAGGGGCTCTATATCTTTGACGGCCTCTTCTTCTGTCATTTTTACGCCGATTTCCTTGTGTCTATCCATCGATGATCCCGCCTTCGCGTCGGCGTCGTCGGCCATGTTTCCAGTTGCCACAGCAACGGCACATAGTGGCCAGCTGAAATTTTCTGTTGCTCTCCTTAAAGTAAGAATTCGAGACTCACTTTTCAAAACCTGGCCGTCACAAATAATTAATAATTTTATAATTTTTCCTTCTTATGAGCAATTACTATAGATGTTTTTTGCTAGCTTTTCAGTAATTTGAAGGAAAAAAAATTGTGACGCGTAGGGTTTGTCAGGTGGCCGAAGACAGCAAGATTGGCAAGATCCCAATGGCCGGCGCGCAGCCGGTGCTTCAATCCTTTCAGCAGTAGCATCAGTGTTCGAAAGCAGTGCGGAGTTCCTAATCGCGCTTCGTTTGAGGCGCCTTCTTTTCTCTTATTTATTCCGACAAATCGCCGCAGTTCAAAATGTTGGACCTCGAAGAAAACTGCTATTTCGAGGAGGACAAAATGTACGTACTACTACCGCTTCCCCACCCCTTGTATATTTTCTTCAAACTCGCGCGATGCTCTGTTTCCAAACGGAAACGACTTATCGCTTTTTCGCTGACGCATTTGTTCGGCCCAACCCTCGAAAGCGTCTTAATTGCGGAAGCCCCTTTTCCTCCAATCGCTCGCCTTTCTTTGGCGTGATCGGTTCTGCCAGGATCGCCTCTGCGTGGCACGAAACGCGACAGCTGGCATCGTGACGTGCCGTCAGCTCACCTGCGGTACTCTCACGAAAGCTACGCTTTATATTTTTTCGTCGCCTGCTTTGGTGAAAAAGAAAAAAAAAAGTGTTCTTTATTGTGCGTAGCTGTAGCGCAAGCGGCTCACCGCGCGAGGCAAGTTGATTGTTTTTTCTTGTGTCGTTCTGAAACTGCATTCAACGCGTTCGACTTTCCCGCACTGCACCCCTGCTTTGCATCTAGTCGTGCTTCTAACTCGCGACGTGTTTGTTTCTTCGCGTGCCGAAACTTGCTCGTGCCATATGGATGAGTGAACGAGTGTGTTGAAAACAGATGGGATAGCGCTACATTAAAAACAAAGAGTGATGAAGCGTCAGGATAAGCACTTCCTTTCTTTCTCTTCTTCTTTTTTTGGTTAGCTTGAAAAAGAAGTCAGTTGTGTGTAGGAAGGAACCATGGTTTGTTTAATACTTGACGTGCGAGGCGAGCGAAGCTACAAGCATGAGCCCTGTTGCTTGGTAGGAATGCTGGTAGCCCGGATGTCACGACATGCAGAGGGTTGTTATGCACACACTGCTGAAGACACGCTTTACATACCCGTTGTGTGGCGAAAGCAAAGCTCTCCTTTGGGACAGCTCTACCCCTTCACAGCTTCTACGTCTTGCACTACTTAATGGGAACGAAGGCTAAAGCTAGAGACCGTTACATTCTAATGTTTACACATCTGGTCGCATGATGCACTGGAACAATTCTAATTCTTCTTATTGAATATCCCTTTACACATTTAAAATGAACTACCAGGGTGCGGTGACGCTCTGGTCTTCATCTATTTGCTCGCTTGTTCGCCGATTGTATAACTATTGCATGACCGTGCAAAAGCATCCATGCTGCATTGAGGTGCCGTGCAGCGGTGGACGCTTGCTCCACGGTTTATTTAAACGAGACATGGCTGTGCTTCTTTGCTCGTTTGGTTGCTCGACTTCGTCTTTTTGTTTGTCTTTCTTTTCTGTTGCTCTTGTGCAAACGCGCGTATACGATGGTAGCATGTTTCCCTGCGTTATCGCATGTTTTGTGTTGACGCCATTGTTCTGCCCCCTCAGCGGTGTTGTGAGCGCTTCGGGCGCTAACGATGTCTGAAGAGTGCGCCTATCGACGAATACCCACCGAGGATCCAGACGACTCGTCGGATCTTTACCGTATCTTTATGATGGAGGATCGCATGTATGTTGTCCCTTTGTTTTCCTCGTGTGTTTTGCATTTTTGCCTCTGCATCTTCAATTCTTAGGCTTAAACCGGAAGCTCTTGCCGTACGGCTCTCTCGAGTCACCCAACTATATTACAAATGCATTATTTGTTTTGTAATGGTGTGTTCTACAAAAAGGAACATGAACAGGGGTTCGATTAAACTATGTCACATTCACTCGGTTAACTTCCGCACTGTTTATAAGCAAGCCTCATGCAACTGTTTTCTTGTGGTGCGTGCATATAAGTAATCAACGCCGTTTATGCAGTGAGAATGGCAGACGGTGAGGCTCAGAAAGTGTTTGTTTCAAAGAGTGAAATCTGCACTGGATTTTAGGCATCTAGAAGTAGTACAAGCTCTGCATTGCTGCACAGTTGTTTGCGTGAGAAAGTTGTCTGCCTCGTTATTTTCTGGGCTTTCCCTAAATTTCTGTACTTGGCTAGATTCCTACTTTGTGGAGAGGAAAGTGTGTGAGTCTTGTCTATAGACAGTGTGATGATTCTTAAGTTGATTGCTGTACTTTAGCACTGTCTAACACTAGACGAGCATCGCATGGCAGCCTCGCTTTTGTGATCAGGATGGTTGTAAAGTACAGTCATGTCTCGTTTTTGCTCGTCAATCAAATATCTCCCTCATTCAGCAAACTTGCTTTGTTGGCCACTTCTAAATTTAAGACATCTAAAATTCGAAGACATTAAGAATGTCTGTGACCAAAGTACGCTCCTTTTCATCATTCACTTTATAGATATCACTCTCGCTTGATTCCTTTCAAAATATAACCATAAAATCTCCCTTCTTTTACAGAAAATAAAGCTGTTTATGACGTTCAGGGACAAAGGATAATTTTTTGTTTAAATGGAAACAGCTAGGTAGGAACATTAACAGCTGTGCCAGCTTGCAGGAGTGGTTCTAGATATGAATGTCACATGTGCAATCATGACACGACTGTGCTCTTACATCTGCACTGTCATGCAGCCAGGCTGCCATGCCATTGCAGTGGCTGCAAAGTGCGTAATCAAATGCTTGCACTGTTAGTGCTGTAACATCCAAGATGAACGAAATGAACTATCAACTCTAGAAGTTCTTGAGTGAACAGTCAATTTAGTTGTAAGCAATCAATTACCGTATCTAGTAAAAAAAAAAAAATTAGGCAACCTTTTTCGGGTAAAAAGCCTGCACGTGTGTCTACCTTTCCACACGGTATGGGAGAGGGGCAATCACAGCAACTGATGAAGGAAGGCAAATGAATATTGAATAACTGATAACACTTGTACCCAGGAACAGTGACTTGAACCTAAGTTCCAGAAGATTGACATTATAAAGTGCGATTTGAGCTTTACCGTTCATTCGCCTGAATTCGTCACTTGGATGACAGCTCCACGTGCCTTGTGGGAAAGTGGACATGTGGAAGTGAACATTGCAAATACTTGATTGGAATGCGAGATTATTTTAATATTAAAGTAGTTCATAAAAGTTTTATGGTTGACAAGCTCATTGTTCCAGGAAAACCTCTTATAAGTTTAACAGAAAAAAAAAACAAAAAAAACTGAATGAGTAGTAGTATTACTGGCATTTCATATTACTAGCATGGACAGTATGAGCTACAAGAACCCTTCATGCCTCTTTAGCATACCTGTCATGCCTGCCCTTTCTTTGAAGAAGCTTTGGTTCAAACTAGTTTAATCTAAAGCAGGAACTCGAAGTTCAGGTCCGATTATTTAGATTCTTTGACGAATTGAAAGACAATAAAGCGTGTGGGGAATGCAGGCAGACAAGAGGCCCTGTCGAGTGTTTTAGCAAATATCTTTTGTGGGGTTGGGATACCGGTATTACAAGCTCACCACAACTTGGCTTCAATGTGTGGAAAAGTTTCTGGTGAGTTAAATGCTGGCACAGGTGCCCGCACAACTGAGAAATTGAAGATACTGGTGTGACAAGGATTAATGAGAAAAAGAAACAGATTACCATAAAAGGGACTGAAGGTCACCTGGATTTCCCTAATCCAAGCGAAGTGGTGAGGTAGTCAGAAAACGTATCCCAGCTAAAAATTCCCATTAAATCCAATTGGAATTCTAACTGGTTTTAATTGGAACCAATTGGTTTTAATGGGTTCCAACTGGAAGCACACTGGCCAATGGGTCTAACCCATTGGAATTATTTTTCCAGTTGAACCTGAATGGGTTTTAAATGGTTCCCATTGGTTCTCGTTGGCAGTGACCAATTGGTTGTCTAAAAATCCAAGTGGTACCAATAAGAAATTTCCTATGGAAACCTAATGGGAATTTTCAACTGGGCATACTATTGGACTAGTTTATGCCGCTAGCTTCATAGAAATATGACTATGATAAGGAAAAGTGTTATTGCTTTTGTTGGTTCATTTCATGTTATGTAACATCAGTCTTAATATGGTTCACTGCTTGTTGTAGCATAAAGCATGCAGTGGAAGCTCCACCTCCAGCACAAGCCAAAGCATGATGAAGTAGCCAAAGCATGACAAGGCAACGAGCATGTGCTGAAGGCAGGGCTTTTCCTGAAAATCGTATGTTGCAAAAGACTGCAGTAAGCAAACATTGTGGCAGGCTTGTTGCAGGGATGCAGGCATTTGAGGTATACTCATTTAGTGAAATCACTGATGTAGTAATGATTTAATTCATAAACCAGCTGTATCGGAAGCGAGCTATTCAGCATCTTTTAAGCCACACATTGATCCGACAATCCATTGAGTAATGTTTGGTGACAATGCTGCCAGGGGCATGACGGTGACCTCTGGAAGTGTGGTGATCCAGAAAGATGACAGCAACCTCATCGGCATCAGCATCGGGGGAGGAGCACCGCTCTGTCCGTGCCTCTACGTGGTGCAGGTGCGTGAGGGGGGGGGGGGGGGAGGAGAGGAGCGGTCTTTTTCCAGTCATCATCATCATTATATTTATTATTATATTTGAGTGCCCCAAAACGACCAGACGGTCTTCTGTTTGGTACACCACCACAAAAACACAGAAAGCCGGAAGCAAAATTCAGAAAGCCGCACACGTGTTCTCAACACACCTGATCAACAGTCTGTGTTCAAGTGGTAACACTGGTCTGAGATCTTTGCTTCTTGTTGCTTTAGATATGATTAGAAGTTGCATTTGCAATCGCTTCCAGTGCATTCAAATAAATAAGAAACCGATAGGATCTTGGGCCAGAAACTGATGGCATGTCGCGAGGAATTATACTGGGACCACTTCTCTTTAATTTCAACATCAATGACACTGTTAATATTGGTAACAATGTAAGTTTCATAATCTATGCCAGAGTTTCCCAACTTTTTGGCCAAAAGGCCGGACCACTCATCAATGGAATTGTTTAAAACGAGTCACTGGTCATATTATCGTCGAACACTGTGTTTATTTTGAGATTTAATGACGGATGCTTGAATCTGGTCACCTGATTGTGTCAACTGTGTTAATCTATGTATAATGATTGTTCATTTTAATTTTCCTTCCACTTGCAAATTTTCATCATTGACCTAGATTTTGTTTATTGTTTTCTTCTCACTTTATCGCACCCCCCCCCCCCCCCCCCCCCCCCCCTTTCTGTAATGCCTTTGGGCACTGAAAGGTATACTGAATAAATAATAAATAATTAGGGAATCTGTTATTGTCTCGAGGACCGGAAAATGAATAATTACGAATGAAAAATAAACCTAATAAAAAATCCTAAATCGGTATCTCAACACATAATAGAAAGTTGGAGTGGAAAAACAAACATGAAAGACGTTTGGAAATCTCTGTAATACGAAATTAGAATGCCGCTTTGAGGAGAAAGAGGGGAGGGTGTGCCCCTCCTCCTCCATGCCCTCCCCTCCTCCTCCCATCTTCTCTTTCCCTCCTCATTCTCTCCCCTCCCCCTCTTCTCCTCCTTTATACTTTCCCCTCCCCCTCCTGCATACCCACCCATCCTCGTCCATTTGCCCGAATGGCTGTCCTCCTCCAACCCGCTGCCATCTCCACGTATCGAAATAGAGACCTTTCCTCTCGGGATGCTTTTGCCGCCCTCTGCGTGTAACCGATTCTTGTTTGCGACTGCCCGATTCACGAATGCAAGAATTCCCTTTATCCCGTTCTCTTACGCCGAAATGCACCGTGACAGAAAAAGGTGCAGGGCTATAACTGACGCGGGACGTCGTGCAGGTGTTCGACAACACCCCCGCCGCACGTGATGGCACGTTGCAGTCGGGCGACGAGATTGTGGGTGTGAACGGCACGCCCGTCAAGAGCAAGACCAAGGTGGAGGTGGCCAAGATGATACAGAACGTCAAGGTGCGTGATCCGCCGTTGTCTTGCCGAGCGCCGTGTCAAGAGACGCGTTTCTGGCCGCATGTGTCGGCGCCAAAAACAGCAAGGGTGGCTATTTGAGCTCCCCGTGAAGGCTCTCATTCCAGTACAAGGTTTCAGACAGGATAGTCAAAAGCATGCAGAAAGATTTCGCTTGGTTCTTGTTTTATAATCCGTTTCATCTTACAATTGGGTTGTAATGGACACTATGAACCATTTCAACTCGCTTGTCGGTGTAGCACGTGACTACATGCTACGCGTGTCGCTGCGTCCTTCCCGGAGGTTGCGTGACACGCACGTGGCAAGGGATCGGATTCGGTGGCTTGTGGCATCTTCTCTGGTTCGTCGTAAGGCTGAAACAGAGTAGAGTGCCAGTTAAATGAGTGTTGGACCGATAGTCATTGACCGTATTCTGTGCAAAAAAATGTATGGGTGGTTTCTTAGTCTCATTTGGGCAATGTGGGAGAGGCCTGGAGTTTTCATTTTTTACTATGGAACTCTCGTAAACAGGGAACCATTGACTTAGAAAATGTCTCATCCGAGCTGGGTGCGTTGCAAAACAACAAACTGGAACTACTTCTTTTTTTTTAGGGGCGAAGCTACTTAGGGGCTAGCCATGTCCGTATGTCCGTCCGATGCCCGGCGTCGGGTGCTCGTGCTCGTGAGGTCGCATGCTCACGTGCTCATGAGCACGTGAGCCCGTGCTCCAGGGACGGCGCCAGGATCTTCATAATGGGGGGGCAGTGGGGAGGCGAACCAAAATGGGGAGGGGGGAGGGGGGGGGAGGGGGAGGGGCGGTTGCTTTGAGGTGCTGTCGCCCACGGGCTTATGCAAGATAGCTTATGCGGTGTGCTCATTGAAAAGGGAAATCCGGAGACAAGAGGAGGAAGACGGGGGGGGGGGGGGGGGGGGGGGGGGGGTATCACAGCAGGGACCTCTGCCCCCTGTGCTCAGCCTCAGAACCAGGTTTTGCTTCCCTTTCTGAGACAGTCCGGAATTCCCCATGACCTCGACTTTAAGTAAGCTCCCCTTCGTTCACGTTTCCGGTCTCCGCTGAACATAAGCACCACAGAGCGGAATACGGAGGAAAGCCAGCAGGCGTCACAAAGGGAAGCTGCTTTTTCTAAAGCGCTTGATAGCTTACTCGCCCGCGGTTAGGGAGACATGAAGGCATGCTACCCGCGGTACGACTTCCAGTGGCTGGAAGTTAATAGAAAAACAAATAAAACGCATGAACGGCTCTAAAGTCTGGACACTCGTTGCACTGGGTCTTCAAGCCGACGTCGTAGGCAATTATTTGTGCACAAAGCTGCTTCATCTTGGGGTGGCAGAAGAAATTTTAGGGGAGGCGCCCGCCACCCCTCGCATCCCTTTGGCGCCGTCCCTGCCGTGCTCATGTAGGGCATAAAAAAACAAAAAACAACCGCATCTCCACGTGGTGAATGATGTTGATTGGGGCAAAGCTCTGGTGGTGCTTGTCTGCGTAGACGCTGAGCCGCAGCATGCCGAGCCTTTCGTTCGTTTTCATCTGTGTCAGAAAGAGAATGTGTGGTATGGAACGTGGTTATATACGCATTTGAGCATTTGACCGCAGCGTGACATCGATGAAAACGAACGAAAGGCTCGGCATGCTGCGGCTCAGCGTCTACGCAGACAAGCACCACCAGAGCTTCGCCCCAATCAACATCATTCACCACGTGGAGATGCGGTTGTTTTTTCCTCGCAGCAGGAAATTTATTTTTCAATATCTTACGGGTTTTAATGCTACATTATTATAGCTGCATCTAATGAAACAGACATTTTTGGGTCAAAAACGTAATGTGGTTGTTTTAAAGGAGCCCTCTAACGATATTTGAGCTTTCGTGCTTTTTATAGTATTGCCTTATTAGTTATTATTATTATTATTTGCTACAAAATATAAGTGCGTTGTATCTTAATTTGATCAGGCAAAAACAGTGCAACGTCTGATGGTGCTCCAGTGTGTTAAAAACGAGCGGTTGGTGACGTTTCATGGGTCGACTTTGCGATTGGCAGCGTTGGAAAGAGATGTCAGAATTCCTTTTATGCAGGCTAAAAAAAGCGTATCACTCCGTGAAATATCGTTATTCTTTGAAAAGGTAGCTTTATTAACGAGAAAAGCTAAAGAAAAAGAAAGGAAAAATGTTTCATATGTTTAGAAACAAAAAGATTGAGGTACACCTAAGCACTTCTTATGAGTTGTGAATGCGAAAGCATGCAAGCCGCTCGTCCTCTCCCTTTCTTGTCTGCTGCGTACTTTCCGTTGGCGGTCAGCGCGTGTGCTCCCCTGGGCACAGTGACCTTGGACGCTCCGTGTTAACGCCGCGTTGATGGAGACTCAGCACCATGGGGTGAGCGGTTGTGGAAACTGATGAGCGTAGCGGCCAATAGGAGCCCTGTCGACGCGCGCCAGCTAATGGGACCGAAGGAAACTAGGAGCCGTTTTCGCGCTTCAAACTGATGACGTCAGCCCTCTCCATAAAGCAATCAATGCATTCGCACTAAAAAAAAAAAAAAAAAAAAATTATGAAGACGCCCCCCCCCCTCCCCCCCCCCCCCCTTCACAGGACCGGCTTGCGTAAGCGCCCCCCCTCAGCCACATTCAGGAATCGCCATTCGGTATGTCGAAACAACAGACCCAGTGGGACACTCATTTCTGCGAAGGAATCCGCTGCTCCAGCCGTGTGTCGTGCGCCAGCTGTTCTCATCGGTCGGTTTGGCGTCCTCGTGTTTCTTGTGTTGGTTTCCACATCAGCGTGCTCCATTGAACGAATTTGCGCATGCTTCAGTCGTTATCCCTAGAAGCTTCATAGGCCTAACGAGCCGGACTCGCTTGCGCCGAATGCCAGCAAAAGCTCGAAGCTGGATGACATGCCAAAGGTAGAGAGTTAGTTAGAATTCGGGACGACTTCGTATATAAGCTACGTACGATCACGTGCTTGTCGTTGCCACTCAAAACAACAAATGCCAAGTGTCGATTCGTCCGAACAAAAGCCGGCCGGCGGATTCGTGCCGAGCGACTTCGACTGGCGTCGACCTTTGTGCGATATTCGTGAGAAAATAAATGCTTCTTTAAACTCGTGATCTCCATTATTCTATTTCTTTTTTTAGCCTATCACGGTGCGGCTAACCCCTGACCTTAATCGCTGCTTCGATTGCACCAATTTCACCGATACCAAACGGGGGAAGCGAAAGAAATGAGCAGAGCGCACGAGACCGCACGGACACAGTTTCGTCGGGCTCTCCTTGGCCGCGGCATAGCAGACGACGCCCGCATGATCGTGATCGGGCCTGCACAATCGTGATCGGAGCCTGAATCTCGGACGATGCATGGGGCGCTACGGCGACGATGCATACTCGTCCTCGGCGCAGCAGCCACGAACCTAACCCGCAGCCGATTGGCCAGCCGCCTCGCCCCAAGCCTCCAATCGATCAATTGTCCATAACATGTCACAGAGCTTAAATGTTTTGATTGTTTTTCGTGATCTTTAATTTTCTCGAAACACCCAAAATAAATTGCATTTCTCAAAAAAGAAAAAAAATTTTTTTTCCTCCCTGTTTTTACGTTTTATGAGCTTTGTCTCGGAGCAAATTCCAAACCAGCCCAAAAATCGTTAGAGGGCCCCTTGAACTGCTTACAGAACTGTTCCCTTCTGTGAGCGAGAATACATAGAACTCTTTTGTTGCAGAAAGAAGTGGTCATCAACTACAACAAGTTGCACGCCGATCCAAAGCAGGGCAAGAGTCTGGACATTGGTCAGATTCTTCTACTCATTATGGAAGTCTTCTAGAGCTAGCGCTACAAACTAATTTGGTGCAGCCTCAATTACACAGTTGATGTTTCCCGGTATATTCACTTTTTGTTTGGGTCACTCCAGCCGGAGGTTGCTTTTCAAGTTTCTCAGTAGGCAGATATGTATTGTTTACACCCATAAAAGTGTCGCTACATCATCTAGTCGTTGATGTTCAAACGAAAGTTTAGAAAAAAAAAATTATTGTTAGTCACAGTCATATTTGTAATTTTTTGTCACAGTCACAGTCATATTTGTACTTTTTACTTCCCGCCACTTTTGTGCAGTGCTTGTCAGTGCATAGGTTCAAGCCCTCCTTCCAGGCAGGGGAGTGTACGAATATATATCTGAGATCAATCACAGTCATGCCGCATACACAGCCCGTTTTCTAACTTCGTTGATGTAATATAAAGAAAAAAGAAGAGAAAAGGTCTTGCTTGTGTTATAAGCATGGTACAGTTCTATAATTTTATTAGGGTCGCAATATCTTGGTTCGATGCAAATTCAAACCTACAACTGGAGCTGTTTTGTGTACTGTGTATCGATATTGGCTAGAACAAGCTTTCAGACTTCAGAGCTCTTCTGAGGTGCCTTTGGAGCCGTGGCAGTGATGCACTGCCTTTTCTGCTACGGTGCAGTGCTGAAGAAGGCCAAGCACCGCATTGTGGAGAATATGAGCTCGACCACGGCAGATGCATTGGGTCTCAGCAGAGCCATTCTCTGCAACGGTGAGCTTGCTTTGTCCGTACAGCATTTTTTTCCTAACAGAATAGACATTTTAAAAAACTTCGAGCCATAAGAATGTCTGCTGCGATAGCTTCGACATGAAAACAAATTTCCCGAATCACTTGCTCCGAACTTCGTGAATCGAAGGCAACGTACCGTAAAATTGCGTCAGGACATCCTCCCCTGGGAGGTTTTCCATCCCTTTTTTCTGGCTAAATATCTATAACACGAAAATTCAGAAACGTCGCCCACCCTCCCGATTCCTGCGGGACAGGAATCGCATCAACCGTGCGATCTGCCGTACCGGTACATGGGACGAGCGAGTTCGTGGTGGGTTCACACGTTTTTGTCCCCTATCTGCGCACGCGATATCGGTTCCTGTGACGTGCGAGTTTATCCCGCGCGTTTATTGCATTGGAAAACGCGAGTCCGTTGCGTTCGCGACCTGCAATGTCCGCTCCCGTGTGTGTGCGAGTTCGTAGCGAGTCCCCGCATTTCTTTGTCCGCAATCTGCGCATGCAATATTGGTTCCCGTGGCATGCGAGTTATCCCCGCGTGTTTTTGCACCGTGAAACACAAATCTGCCGCTTCCGTGGTGTACGATATCGGTTCTCACGACGTGTGAGTTCGCGGCGGGTTCCCGCATGTCCTTAGCACTGTGAAAAGCAAATATATCTGCTGCGTTTGCAATCCGCAATATCTTTTAGCGTGTCGCAGAAGTTTGTAGCAAGTTGCCGCACGTTCATCGCATCGTGACATGCGAATTCGCAGTGTCTGCAATGGGTGGCATCAGTTCCCGTTTCACAAGGTCTGTAGCGGAGGCCCAGGTGTTTTATCACTTTTCTTTTATAAAGTTTTGCCGTCCCATCCTTATGTTTTTCACCATTTATCTTCGTCTTGGGTGGGCGCCCTTACGGGATTTCAGCGTATACGGATCAACTTGTGAGAACCAGTTCTCGTCTGCCTTTTTCGTGCTCTCAGAGACCTTCAATTTTGCTGGTGTGGAAAAATCAGCATGATGCCACCATTATGCCTGGTTGACATAGCCGTGTTGTTTGCATTTAGCACAACTGCAGTGACAGAAATGGCAGAGTCACCAGGAGAACCGTTTGCTGTAAAAAATGTTTCAAACAATACAAAAAGTATTCCGTCAAGCAATCTTGAGTCACAGTTGTCCTGGTATCTTGAACGTTGCTGTTGATGCAGGCATCTGAGCCAGCCCTTAAACATCCGGTTCAACTGTGAAAATTCCGCATAGGGTAACCTTTGACAACGGTCTTCCTTGCGAGCATGGTGCTCACTTGTATACTGCAGACAGCCTGGTGAAGAAGCTGGAAGAACTGTCGAGGAACGAACAGATCTACAAGGGCCTGATGGAGCACACGCACCACATGCTCAAGGCCTTCTTCGACATCTGCCATGTGTACAGAGGTAAGCACACACCAAAATATGATGCCACGCGTCGCGTTTCGATTAACTGAACATTTCATTGGCAAATCGACCAACGTTTGGCGTCAAACCAGGCCTCATGGCTCGAGGGAACTCCTCTGCTCTGCGGGCGGACTTGGGCACGGCAGTTGCGGGGTGGATTGGTGGGCGCCGTTTCGTAGACGCACCTAGAGTCGACATGCAGCCTCGAGATTGTTCGAGGTAACTGTCGAGAAATTTAAGTGTCCTAGGAAAAGATAAGCGGTCGTCGGTGCGTTTGCTTGTAAAATAACGAGGGTTGGGAATATTTTCACCTCTTCTCTGCCAACTTTTATCCACATGCAAACGTACAGTCACAATTGATCGTTGACTGATCTTTACTGGCGGCACTGCAGGGCAACAACTAGTGGGGCTGGCACACCTTATTGCACGCTTTTCTGTGCTTGGTTTGCATGGCGCACAAACCACTGCAGTTGCTGCTTCGTGGGAGAGGTAGACAATTGCGTGATCATCTTTATATCGCAACTATCTTAGGTGATTGGAGCTGTTACGAGCAGGTTTTACAGCATTGTAATCACTACTTCAAAAAACCATCCCAGTTCCTCTTTACATTGGACTTTAATTTGCCTCCAAAGACAGGTTGTCTTTAGCATTGGCCTCTCATAATGTACAAGTGGTAGAGATCTGATGTAGTGCACCTTATAGGTGGAGACTATTTCGACGTCTACAGTCAAAATATCAAAAATAATTATTTTGGCATCTGTAACGTCACTTCCATAATATGTCAAAATAGTGGCTTTATTATTTTGACGTTTCCTGTAATGCAGCCGTTTTTTTGTTTAGTTTCTGATGGTGTTGTCGGTGTTGTATCAATGGAGTTATGCATCGCATGCCTACAAAGTTTCGGTCCCATCCTAGTTGGCACTGAAATTGTCTTACATGGCGTCTGTGTGCTCGACTGATAAAAAGGAAACTTGGGCGAGCTGGTGATTCATATTCTAAGGTTAACATTGTAAGATCAATCACACACACCGACACACAAAAGGACAAACGCAGGCGCCTGTCAACTGTCAAGCCTCACGACTGGCTTGACAGTTGATCCTTTCGAACACACTCAGCAGCGATGTTCTCAGCTCTTGTACGCGTCTCACCGAAAATATTGAATTCACAACAAAGGCGTGCCGGATATCTCTCTGTCTTGCCTGGTCATAACAAGTATAAGTGTGTACACTAGGTAGCACAGAAGTTGACACGCGTTTTGTACCTCTACGCCTCCAGCACCGTACGAGCGCATTTTCGGATGGTTGCAGTCTTGCTTTTGTATCTGGCTTCTGCCCTGTTTTTAACAGGGTTTCGTGGGTTCGTTGTTTAGTCTTAGATTTTCTTTTCGGTTTGAGTGTATAACGAGTGGGTTGGCTACGAGACGATTGGGATGTTAGAAAAAAAGTTGTGCATGCAAACATTGTCTCCTTCATGTTTCTTGACAGATGTGAACAAACAACAAAGGTTTAGACGCACCGAGGAAAAATTTTTATATTTGCAGTCTGCGCTGTGCTTACACGAGGTACACGCATTTTCCGACACCAAACGTTGTCCACTAAGCTGCAAATTTCCTGACACAAGATTCAGCTCCTTTCTCTATATAAAACACGAGAAATAAACCAAGCAAATGTTACGTGTCAATTGGACGACATTTGTTTTCGGAAAATGCGTGTTGAACCAGGCCACCGACTGCGAGCAAGGCAATATTCTTTGATCACCACTTGCGATCGCTTTCCAGTGCAGAACTCCAAAGCTCCGAACCAAGTTTGAGATGTCAAAATAAAGATAAAAATATTTTAGATGGGGAACGTCAAAATAATTGTAAAACTAGGTACTTCCACGTCTTCAGGAAGTGGCGTCACGAACGTTAAAGTAATGCTAAAAATTATTTTAAAGGCAGGCGTCGAATTAGTCACTGCCTGCTTTATACCACCGTGCCTCACGCGCGGTTCTCCCGACACCTTTTCAACGCAGCGTTCGGGGACGTGTTTGCGGAGATCGGGGTGCGTGAGCCACAGCCCCGTGCGAGCGAGGCGTTCACGCAGTTTGGCGAGGCTCACCGCAGCATAGAAAAGTATGGCATCAAGCTCCTCAAGACCATCCGACCGGTGAGTCCGTCATCACGTCTACGCGTAGACATGTACGTAACGCGTTACTAATAACAAGGTATTTCTACCTATTTACTTTTCTCGGTTATGAGTAACATACTAAGTTACTTTTAAGGCCAAGTAACGAGTAACGGTATTTCGTTACTTTTCAGGAGTAACGTGTACAGCAACGTTTAAATAGCCTCGTTTGAGTTCTAACCTGAGTATGTGTCTGTTGCGACAAAGGCAGATGGGCAACCCGAAAAACAACTATACAGTATGACGCTATAGCAGCGTTTATTGCTGAGCATGTCAGTCAAACTCTATAGCTGGAAATGTCCCTCACCCAAAGAACACAACGAGGCTCGTTGGTTGAACCTTCTAGAATCATGTACAGACCGAATATAAACCTGGAGGTTGCCAACGCGGGAAGGCACCGAGCCCATTTTCAACTTCAAACTTTAGGAGCAGAGAGAAAAAAGAGAAACGGGAATCCCAGCTGCACCAGCCCTTCCCGAAGCACAACACTGCCGTTCATTCAAGAGCGTCAGTAGAACGACTCTTTAGCATCGCCGGAGATGTATTCTCAATGAAGCGGGGAAACACAACCAATGAAAACTGAGAGGCAGCTACTGCTTAAGTGCAATGACTACTGAAAAGAAAAGAACCATGAAAAAGGAGCAATTTAGTTATCAAAGTAACGAGAAAAGTCGCTTTTTACGTTTGAGGTAAAGTAACACATTTCTTTTGAGAATCGGTAATGAGTAACGTATTTAGTTACTCTTTGAGCGAGTAACGAGTAATGGTATTTAGTTACTTTTTTTGGGTAATGTGTACATGTCGGTCTTTGTGTGATGCTCACCTCTTTTTGTTGCAGGTAAAACTTCTCTTTGGAGGTGCACCATTCTTTGCAATGTTAGCATAGCTACCCTTAATCACGAAAACCAATACAGTAATCCCTCGTTATAACGAAGCCAACAGGACGGCAAAAAAAATTTGATATACCGTATTTACTCGCATAATCCTCACACTTTTTTTGCGGAAAATCGATGGAAAGTTGGGGCGTGCAAGAATTACGCGGGCGAAATTTAAAAAGAAAAAAAAAGAAGCTGTTGCAAATTGGGTTTTTGCGCCCGCAGCTACCTACAAGGTTTGAGAACTACCAATACAGGACCTACCTTAACAATAAAACCACAGGTTCAACACAAAGCAAGATTTATTTACAAACACAGTCCGAGTTAAGACTTACCTACGTCGCTGATAACGACCTCAGTCCGAATCAGTCCTAGCCACAGCATCGCTGGCCGTTGCCCCTTATCGTCACCTCCCAATTTCTCGACGACTGCGGTAAACCGCGGGCTGCGCGAACGCCGTCTAGTTGCGCGCATGCGAAACCGGCTCAACGACAGTGTGACTAGCGTCTGAGAGATAGCGATAGGCTGCCTAGAGCGCCTTGGGCGCTTAGAGCATTAAACGGCACGGCGCCGCAAAATGCGGGCGGTGGAGAGCGTGTGCATCATGCAGGTTTCGCGAGCAGGCGACTTTCACCGCTGAAGTTTTGGGGGTGCGAGGATTACGCCAGGAAAAAGAAAATCCAGTTTTTGGTGGCTCATATTAGGGGTGCGAGGATTACCCGAGTAAATACGGTAAGCGTTTCAACAAAAGCGATAGAGCCAAAAAAACAGCGCCAGCAGCCTTGAAGGTGGACGGGAACACTGCAGAACACTCTGACCGTATATTTAGTCAAACAAACCTTGACAACTTTACCGTGTCAAAAAATAATTAAGTGGAGGTTGCCGATAATTTCATCCGGGCATCAGTTCTCCCTGAAGTGCTCCAGGCATTGCAAGAACACTGTCACCACCGCTGCACTCCACTTTGTTTTGAAGCAGCCGTAGGATGTTTCGCGTCTCCGCAGTCGTCGGCGTTTCCCGAGGTGCCTGCCCGACGTCGCTTCGTGTTTATTCTGGCTGCATTTCAGGTCTACGATCGCAGCATCCATGGCAGGGACAACAACGGGAACATCCACATTGACAAGTGTGAACGAGTCAAAATTATCCTCGATGGATTTGACAATATGTTTTTACACACTCCTGTAAAGATTGTTGCAGCTATGGAAATCGTGAGCCGGCTTGGCAGGCCTGCTCACGAGAGAAAACCTGACGTGCGTGAAGCAGGTGGTGATCTTTCATCTTCTGGTCGCGGGCGCACTTTCTCCGGCATGAGAAATTCGTCGAACTTGCCCAGTATGCCTCACTTGTTCTGCAAAATGGTGGACAGTGTCAAGGAGCCGATGTCGGAATTTCAAATTCTTAGGCGATTTCGGACTTTCGATAAACATTTCAGGCGACTTTTGGTAAACACTCCCAATCTCTCATACGATGCACTTGTGCATGTAGTATGCTACAGGCACGCGCTTTGGGGGCTTTCAAAGGGATGATCTCTTAGGGCTCCATCGCTACCTTGACCCGATTCCAACGGAAGTCGGCCAGCGTTGGCCGCGGGTGCCGAAAGTGGCGTCGGAAAGTTGACGCCGCTTCCTGCCCACGTTGGCGCATCGGTATCAGAAGCGGCGCTCTGCCAGCTCTGCGCACTCTGCCCTCAATCACCCGTTTACTCCGTTTTCCCAGTTTGCTGTTTGCCTCGGTAGAGAAGGGGGAGGGAACGCAAGTGTCTCCTGTGCGTCTCCCTGTAGGCTTGTGTGCTTATGGTGCCGCGGCCTTCGTAATAAGCGTTGCCGGCCGCCGATACACTTCGAATAATCCAATTACAAATGCATGTGTTTCGGTCGGGACCACGTTGAACTTCAATAAAAGCGATAATTCTAAAAAAGCTATTTCGTTACAACGAGGGATTACTGTTAGCTTAACATATAATTATTGCATAATCACCTGTTTTGTCTTGCCCTTTTGGCCTTGAAGGTATTCCAAGAAAAAAAAATTATTTCTACTTATACCACTAAGAAATAGGTCATGACTAAGCGATATAATATCACACAATTTTTTTAATAGGAAATATGGTAAAATGAGAGCTGCAAAGTTGTCCACAACACCTTCAGCAGCATCTATTACAAGTCTAAATACACACTCTTCTGGCTGGGTTGGACTCTATTTGTAATATACTAGAATTTCCTCATTCAACCACCTAGTAAAGCTCTTTCGAAGACATTATTTGAGGGTGTGTGCACACAATGGATGCGTTCCTGGACAACGTAGTCGGACTCCGTAGTTCTAGTTTACAGGTCTACCAGCTTTCCTTTTAGCCGTAGCAGCCCCTAGTGGCAGCATTGTTATCCCCGAGCAGCGGAGAAGTGCCACTGTTTCCCTTATCACCCCCAGATGCTGAGCGACTTGAACACATACCTGAACAAGGCCGTGCCAGACACCAAACTGACCATCAAGAAGTATGCAGATGCCAAGTTTGAGTACCTCGTGAGTATGCACATACATTGCTCGTTCGGGCTGGGGCACAGAGCTGACAAGACTCCACGAATAGCACACAGGTTACGTCTGTCCAGTTCAGGTGTGCCTACACCGTATGGATGTGCAAACCTCGAAGTCGCTCTTGACATTATCCCGAGTTGGATCATACTGTTTCTCGTCTTCTCTTCCAACTATTTGTTGTGCGAGATTACGGGGAGGAAAAAGGTACGCGCAGAATCTATCTCAACGTAGGCAGCAAGAAAATTTTTAATATTTTACGGTGTTAGTCAAAATCTTTATTGCTATTTTGCTTTTCTGAAAATAACCACTGATTTTAAATTAAACTGTACTATTGAAGTGAAACGTAAGAACATTTCAATCTCCCTTGTTAGTTAGTTATACTGCTCTCACATATTTTCTTATTGTCCAACTATGTTCTATACTTGGTGCTCAGAGTTCGCTCTCGTGCAATGCGTCATACAGTGCATGTACTTGGCTGGTGCCTCCTAGATAATGAGGCTGTAGCGCAGGATCTTCTATGTCACCTACTGGATTCTAGTGCAGGGCAGAGGCTGGACACGATTGCTGTGTCAGCGTTCGTCTGGTACTCGTGTTCAGTCGGCGAAACGTCCAATCTCTGCCCTGCGGTAGAATCCAGTGGGTGACATTGAAGATCCAGCACTATGACCTTGTTATTCATAGTCACTGACTAGGTGGAAAGGATGGGGTGCTATTTCGATTGCCCGGCCTCCAGCACACCCTCGTTGCCTTCCACCATGCTTCGGCTGCGGGTGCGCACTTGAGGATCACAAGACGCCGAAACGTCATTGAAAGTAGAAGGCTCATGCTGGAGGCGGGACAACTGCAGCTCCTTCCTGACATTCCCATTTTGTCAGCAACTGAATGTGTGTGACTTCGCTGCTGTGCTCTGAGGTGCCTTTCTCTTTGTCCAGTCATACTGCTTGAGGGTGAAAGAGATGGACGACGAAGAGTACGCCTACCAAGCTCTGCAAGAGCCTCTCTATCGCGTCGAGACGGGAAACTACGAGTACAGGTATTTTCCTTACTGCAGCCTTTGTCGAGGGTCGTCCGTTCTAGCGCTGCATCTGGGATGGATCCTGGTCAACCTTGCCCGTATGCAGGTTGATCCTGCGCTGCCGACAGGACGCCCGCGTGAGGTTTGCAAAGCTGCGGTCGGACGTGCTGGTCAAGCTGGAGCTCTTGGACCAGAAGCACGGTGAGTTTTCTTCTCCCACCCTGCGGTCAGCTGTTGTCGCCATCGTTGTCGCCATCACCGTGTCTTTACTACCATCATTATTGTCATCATCACCGTGTCTTAATATCATATTGTTGTCGTCATGCCTTTATAGTCGTCATTGTCGGCATGTCTTTACTATCATCATTATCTTGTCTTTTTCTCATCACCATTGTCGTCGTGCCTTTGCTATCGTCATCGCCCTCATGTCTTTACTCTCATTATTATCATAGGCTTCTTGCACGTGACGTCATTTCCGGTTAAACTCGAAATGGAAACCAACATTGTCATCTGCTACTAGTGCCTTGGCGCCATATTGGAGGCATTCGGCATCTTATGGCGGCAGCAGGGGAGCATGGAGTCATAGTGCAGTCTTTGTATGACCTCATTTCAGAATATTTTTGTTTCCTAGTCAATCGCAAATAGGTTCCTCGCCTGACACAAAATGCAGTCCACAAACCCCTGGTTGGGGTAGGAAGCTTTTCTGTTGAGATCACAGAGCTACAATATAATAACCTAGAGTGAAAGGTCCCATGCATTTGGCAGTGTCAGAATGGCGGGGCATAGATGCGGAAATCGGCGGTCCAACTTGGCGGTCCTGATGAACCCGTAGCACTGGCAATGCCTTAATATGCATAAAAAAAGCAGCAAAACATCACCTGTAAGGTCTCTACCTTGTTATTTTCTCTTTTACTTTGCAGAAAAACGCTGGAATAGCATATTCACAAAATTAAATAAAGCTGACAAGCGCTCGAGCAACTTCAACTTGTCTCGGCAAAACAAACACGCCTAACCCTTCGTCTGCCTTTTTCCTCTGCTTCTTTGTTGCTTTCTTACTCATGTTTTCTCTCGGGACCGGAGATGTTAGCACCCAGGATTTGCCGCGTTCTTCTCTCGTCTTTATATGCTTGGTCGAGATTGTGCTGGCCAATCGTCGGAGCCATTTATGACGCTGGCGAACCGATTGCTTGAGCGTCGCCTTGTCCTGGTTTTTATGATTGCCGGGATTCTAGAAAAACCACTATGGCTGGCTGTAGCTCCGTCTCATCCCTGACTTCTACGGCTAAAACATTTAATTACAGCAGAACTGACCATTTTAAACCTCGAGTGAGCGGACAAACTACAGTGCCAGCACGGCCCCCAAGCACACGAAACATAGCATAACAGCGACGAATGCCGACAACATGGATTCCTGTGGGTACCAGTGAGATTTACGAACTACAGTTCGTAAATCTCTGCGGAACCCATGGTTGTCATCACGTCTTTACTATCTTATCGTTGTACCTCTGCTGTCATCATGTCTTTACTACCGTTGTCATTATGACTACCGTCATTCTCATCATGTCTACTGTCATTAGCATCATGTCTTTACTATCATCATCATCGCATCTTTATCATCATCATATGCCTCTACTATCATCATTGTCATTGTGTCTTTATTGTAATCACTGTACTAATGACTACCACCATTGTCATGATGCCTACTGTCATCTCCGTGTTCTTACCGTCATCATTGTCGTGGCCTTTACGATCACCATGGTTGTCTTCTCTCGGCTAAAGAGTGAAATGCTCTGGTCGGATGTAGTCACCCGATTTGATGACGTCACAGAGTTTTCCGCCCAGCATGCCACCGCCGCAAATGCGGCGCTGTGATGTCGTGTGACAGCCAAGGCCGTCAATGCTGGTTCGCACTCTCGACACTGCTTACGACCGAGTGTGCTGTGCAGCCTTACGACCTCTTAAGACGACAGAACACACTGGCACGCTGGCGCTATCTACCTGGAACTGCACTTCGCTAGGGTGAAGGCTTTGCAGCATTTTCGGGATTAAATGTATGTGCTATCTGTGGAAGATGGTTGTTTATAACATTAGTTGAAAGCTTTTCAAGCAAACGACGGAAGGACGGCACGTGAAACTAATAGGAAATGTATGGAAATTGCAAGCGTTTTACGTCTGCCTGATGAATGGCGCCAGCATATTCTCTTTGTCGCGAGAGATGACAAAAGGTTGTCACAAACTCAGTCGTAATCAGTTGGAAGTGTGCGAACCAGTTTTAACCCTTTAACTGGGCGGTGCGTCTGTAGATGCACCACTCCTCACTTGGTCTTGGGGAGCACGTCTTTAAATTCTCTCTTTTATCGCGCGGGAGGAAGTGCCATTTATTCTAAAAGATGGGAAATAATTTTGCTTTAGAAATCAATGCATAAATAGCAGCACAAAGAAAGTTTGACGAGATACTTGCAGTACCATACAAAAAATGTTGGCGAAATAAGGACAGTAGGTCCCCATTTTGCAGATATTTTTTGGTCATGGAAGTTTCCAGCTAAGGGGTTAATTCTAAGCGTGCTAGGGTTCAGAGCACTATAGACGCTCTTGGCTCGTGTCCCGACAACGTGCACGTCTTGATGCGCAGTGCAAGACATAGTGTTCCAGCTCCAGCGCCTGGTGTCTGCACTGTCCCAGTACCACAACGACTGCCATGCGGTCATGAAGACCACTTCCATCTTCCCCATCGAGGTGGATCTCTCGAGGTCCACCTTCCACTATGCAGACCCCTCGGTGAGTCGGCGCTTTCGAGACCAGACCGAACGCCCGAGGGTCAGTCTGCCGACCCTACTGGCCGCATCTATGCTTAGTTTCACCGTAAGTGTGAGCGCTGTCAAAGGCTAGGAATATACAAACACGGACAGGAGCGCCGGCGTCCTCGAGGGTACAGGTGGTATGCCGCCACGTTTCTTTGTTTCAACTTCTCGGGACAATAAGGTAGGCTGGCTCAGTTGCACGTGCCTTCCCGCGTTTTAACACAGCCTCCCCGGGGGCTTTGTTTTTCTGTTAAGGGCTGTCTTGTCGTCGAGAACGACGCACAAAAAGTCACGTCTGTCTGTTGCCTTTCAAATAGGCCTGTCGCAGCCCCGGATTTTCTTTGTTGTCCTGCTCCGTGAATGATTCCCGATATGCCACGTTCGAGGCATCGTAACTCCTCCAGTAACCCTTTCCCAACGATGGACGAGCTGCGTTCATCCACAGTTTTCGTGCCGCTCCTCTTGAAGACAAGCTGGGCTCGTCCACGCTGAATGAAACGCATGTCCCTTACCAAAGATGAAAAATGGACTAGTCGATATGTGTTTAGTGTTGCGTGCTGTGAAAAGATGGCGCAAAGCGTACAATAAGTTTTAAGATTTGGCCGAAAAACCGGTTCAACACTGGCAACAAGCGCTTTCAAAATGGCAGCATCCACTTCCGGAAGCGGTGCCCCTCGTGACAAGTGTGCAGCGAAAATGCGGGAAAAACGGAAGATTTCACGACACATCTTCCGATTCGGATGATGAGGACATAAACCTTTCATTTGACAGCGACAGTGAGGCCACTGAGCTGTTTGACTTTAGCTCTGACAACTCTGGTTCTGACGACAAGATTGTGCCGACGTGACGGCATTGGATGAGAATCAATCGGGGGGGCCTCCCCCTGCGCCTCTGCGTTTTCGCTTCAGTGCTGCGCCGGTCATGAACGTTGACGTAGCAGGTGATGCAAACTGTTTGCACTACATTAAAACTTCTTTTTACATTGGACGTCATTAATATTTGATCTAAAAATGTAAAAATCAATACATTTGGATTGTTTCTTTTCAAAATTATTGCAGTAGGCAAAGGGCTAATAGGTCTATCACAGCCCGACATTCTTTTTTTTTTTTGTGGTTCTACTCCTTGAGCAATTTTCTACATGTCACGTTCGAGGCATTGTAGCTCCTCTACTCTGTGAACATACAAGGTGCTTCTAAGCATTATTTGGGTGTAAAAATATTTATACAAATAAACCATTGAACGGAGTGCATTAAAACTTTTCACAAAGGTTTGATTTTGTATTGCATTTATCATACTCAAAAATCATGAGTGAAGGTTTCAGGAAAAAATATTTGAGCCTGAAAAGGAGTTTTTTTCCCTGCGCATGAGGAGGAAAATGGCAAAACCTTCTGGTCGGCGCAAAACCTTTTAATCTAACACATGTTCGAATCTGCTGGATCTTCTTTCAAGTGTTTGTCTCAAAGAAACTTTCACGTTTTTGCTTTATGTTGCGCCATCTGCGAGTGGCAGTGCCAAACAGATGATTTTTTGTCGTTTTCCTTCTGGTGCGTAGGAAAAACAGGCTTCTCAAACTTATATTTTCATTTTTCCCGAAACCTTCACTCGCAAAACTTGAACATGATCAATGCATGACCTAAAGGCACCTTTGTGAGAAGTTTCGATGCACTCTGTGCATCGGCTTATTTATAGAAATTTTTTTCGCCCAAACTGCACTCTGAAATATCCTGTACAAATGATTCTGGGCCTAGCGTAGCCTCAATCCAAGACGAGACAGCAGGACCGATTTATTGTTTAGGTCGTAGACATCATCCCACACAGTGTGTTTTGCAGTATGCCGTAATCGAGGGCCGTATTCTTCAGGTTAGCCCGTATCAGGACGAAGAGGAGGAGGATCGCGGGGACGACGACGACGACGAGCTCCTGGAGGCACAAGAGATGCCGCCAGGTGCCGCTGGCGACTCCCTGCTGTCCTGCGGTCCCAGCACCAGCGAGGAGGGTGCCGCTCTCCTATTGGCCGACTGAAGACAACGGGTGAGTGCGCGATCGGCGGTGCACATTGCAAGGACCGGGCCAACCTGTTTGCCTCCCCTAGAATACCATGCAGTCGCCTGCCTAGAAATGAGAAACATGCCGGAATCGGAGACCGGTGTTTTTTTTTATGCCGGCAGGATTGCTTCTATGACAACAGCCTCGTACACGTCACTCTAATTACGTCACTCCGATTACAATTACTCTTGGTTAAAAAGTATTAAATTATGGGTTACTTGATTACTTGAGAAGAAAAGTCATTGGCTGTTACTCGAAAATTCGCAGGGTTTCTTATGTTATCCCGAAGACGACTTGAAGGCGAAAGCTTAAGCGCCGACGCCGATGCATTAAAGACAGACAGATGATTTACTCATTGAGTCATCTGTCTCAGTGTGCCGAGTCATCATCTTAATTTGCTTAGTCATCCACTGAGTGGTCACGTAAACATTTTGGTACCCTTCGTGCCGCCGCCGGCATGCCGACATGTCTTCGACGTGTCTTTGCTCAAGGACTTTGAAGGTCGACTGAATAATGAGACCATATAAGGTTTTCGCCTTAAAAAGTAACCATTAGTTTTTCGATTACTTTGGATCATCAAAACTGCAGGTTCGGTTTGATAATGTTTTTTTTTTGTACTGTCCATTATTGGATTAGGACCACCGAACTATAAACTGCTCATCTTAATCCACCAATTTTGGTAGACCATCTTCATCTGGAGTAATTGGTCGAGGATTCCTTGTTAGAAAACTCGTACAAACAGAAGGTGCCATTAGGAACGGGAGGAAACGCTAGCCCCGGTTAAGAAATAATATGAGTACTTCCAAAACTAGTCAGTTACCCTTCCAATTACTTCATAATAAATGTATTCAAACGATTAAAAAAAAAAAAACTTAAAAAAGTAATTGATTATGAGTAATTTGATTGCTCGTAATGAGTGCCATAGAAGTCAGTAATAATAATAATAATCATAATTGTAATGCTTGTAGTATTACTAACAAAAAGTACACTCAATGAATAAGGCCTCTGCTGCTGCTCGCAAATTTTTTTCTACGTCCATTTTACGTGTCAGGAAGAGTAGACTATCAATTCAAAGCACTGCAAGCAACTATTAACTTTTTTTTTTTAGATTTTGTTTTTGTTTTTTATTGATCGTTAGACAGAAAAGTAATTACTGTGGAGACCGGTTATAACGAAGTCGGTTATAACGAAATAGCGGATAAAGCGAAGTGATTTCCGATTCCTGTTGACTTTGTTATAACCGGTCTCGATCCTAATGCTTTTTTCCTATATTATTCATTTTTTCTCTCGATAGTGAAGTCTTTTAATGCCTGTCTATTGTGAGAGGGAGCATGTGTGCTTCCGCTAGCCGATTTCGTCCTTGCCATTGGTCGGTGTGCAACGCCATGAACATCATCGGCTAACCATTCAGGCGTTTGTTCTCTTGCTTGTGCTAGAGATATGACTGTAACTGTGATCTCTTGGCCAACCTATTCTCTGCTTCACACATTAGTTTTGTTGTTCATTGCACTCACTGGTTTAAAAGGAGCAACTTAGCTGACCTTACTAGGCCGTTTTAAGTGCGTTGCCATGGCCCAGTAAGGCACAGCATGGTTCTATATTTATTTTATTTTTTTTGTGTGCATTGCATCTAGCATAAAAAACAAGTTGCACCAAAACTATCACCAGATTATAATATAAAAACAAAGATCAAGCATAATTTGTGCAGATTTCATTGAAATACTGTAAATGAATAAAAAAAATGTTTCCCCCTAGCACATGTATAGAGCCCTGCACGGACAACAGTTTGATTATCCGCATCCGATCCGTATCCGCAGATTTCGTATCCACATCTGAACCGCATTCGCGCATCCATTTTACATAATGAAATGAAGCATAAATAAAAATTTAAAAAGAAAAAGCATCTGGATGGTATTACATTAGCCGTCTGCTTACCTTTGTACAAAGAACACTTCGTATCAGAATATGATGAAAGTTATTTCATCGTATCCGTATAATAAGCGATCATCCTTCCAGACACATTTCGCATCGCTGGAAAAACAATCGTAGTTTTGAGATAGTCTTGGGAGATTGTGACATAGACATCTGTCCAGAAGATGCAATGGAAATTTTAATATTTATTTTCCTTTTTGCTTTATATAAAAAAAACAAGAAAACTCATATTTCATAAACATGAACATTAGCTGAGGGGAGACTAATAACATTTTGACATTTTATTCAGGCCGAAAAAGAAAAATGTGGGAGAGAAAAAGCGCACACTCACCGTAGCAATGTACTCGTGTATATAAAAGCGCGAGTACACCACTGGGGAAATATCACACTATTCAATAATGTAAACACCTCCTTTCAGTTTCAGTGTTACACACAAACCCTTAACTGCATGCTCGAAATCATATACGTAAAAACAATTCAATGCCAACTGCAGAGGAAAAAAAAAAAAAATATATATATGCGCAAACGCGCAACCTTTTATTTCTCGAGGTTGCTGTGTAGAAGAAACAAAATACCGTCAACATGGACGGATTCAGACTGGTTCGCCTCTCTTAAATTAATGCCCGCCAATGAGAAGTCTCTCTCCGTTGGTGTACTTGACGCTGGGATGGCATGCGCGAACTGCGCTACAAGAGTGAGGTACGGAAACTCGTGCTGGCACAACTTCCACCACTCCAGAGGATCGAATTCAGTATTCCCTATCTACAATTGTAGGTGAAGAAGCCACTTGCAGGCTCCTACTTTCTTGTGGCTTGTACGTTTTGGATTTTCCTTGCCCAAAGAATGTTTTCTGCTCTTTCCCAGACAAATAAGAATGTGCTTTCCCAGGACGACTGATGCTCCATGCATTCTCTACCTTTTCAAAAGAGAGCATTTTTGGCAGGGTAGAATGTTCTAAAGCAATTTTTGGTGAGAATCGGATCTTTTTTGACGTAAAGAACAATTTTCTCCCCGGTCAGCACCTTTTATCTGGGAGAGTAGTATGCTTTTGCAATACATTTGACGATGCACTTCATAGTATTACTCAGTTATTCACTCTACACTGAGCGGTCATGCATGTTTATATAACATGTTCAAAAATGTAGATCCATACCCACAGATATCCGCATCCGCAGCCCGATATCCACATCCGATCCGCAATCTGCCAAATCTGATTCATTTATATCCACATCCACTAGTTTGCTGTGGATATCTGGGTATTATCCGCGGTAATTCGTGGATTTGCAGGGCCCTATGCATGTCCTCTCTCTTTATCAACATCAATAAATAAATTAATGAAGTAAAAAAATAATCATCAATAAATAAATAAATAGCTTAAACTGCATGTGCCCACTTTATGAAATCTGGCTAATTTCGAAATCTGACAGTACTACTTTATAGAACCAGCTTGTTATAAGTTTTGCTTTTGTGCAACAAGTGTTTGCAATAGCATGCTCGATGTAGTTGTATATAAACAAATGTTTTTTGCGCAGAAATGTTAACAGTGTTATGTGTTTGCTCACTTCCATATTCTGCAGTTAGCACTTGTTTGTTTCAAATGATGCAGCTATAAATGAATTTTGGTGTAAAGCGCTTCTCTCTCATGATGCACAAAGCCTTGCCACAATATTCTACAGGAACGCTGCAGAGAAATTCTAGTTAATATGTTTGTTTCTTTTGCATCCACCCAAACATACTAAGTGTGGCACTGATCTGTGTGCCCTCTGACTCTGACAGCTGACTGACCCTAGCGTTGGTAACATTGTTCCACATAAAAAAAAAAGACGAGCGAAATCTGTCAGAAGGGCACCGAAACTTAATTTTTGTTCTACTCCGTTCACTTTGGCAATAAGAGTTTTTGCATGACTCCGAATTGGGATAAGCTTTGGCATTTCATAATATGATTTTAAAATATGTTCTGCATTGTTTTTTTCCTTTCCAGACCCCGGAATGTGATATTGGGGTCTTCTTGCTATTGGAGCGCAGTCTGGTGCATATCTCCTGGTCCGTGCCTAATCAAGAAGGGCAGCATCTAGTCTCAGCAACCTGCTTCCACCTCGTTGGACGCACAAAGGCCAATCGATCTGCCGCCATGCCGATCGCGAAATCTGTGTTCTACTAAATTTCCTAGTCATTTTGGATTTCCTTCCGAGTTCTTGCTTTTTATCAAAGCGTGTTTGTTTGTGTTACGAGTTAAACAATGCTGACTTGGAACAAAGTTCTTTGTTGTTGTGAGTGTGAAAGAGCGAGTGTGTCTTTTACAGATTCCGTCGGTTGTTCCTCATGCAATTTGTACAATAACGATTTGTTCTAAGTAAAGTCAATTCTGGGTTAGTTCTGCGGATGCATGTTGTTGCCTTCCTATGATGCCATCTATTCAAGTAAGCAAATGATATTTTTCGGAGGGTTCCTTTAAAGTAAATGTATGATAGCTACAGTAAAACCTCGTTATAACAAAACGGGATATAACAAACTAATGGATATAACAAAGCAATCATAATTCCCCTTGCTTGCTAATAGTAGGAAGAAATGGACATCGGCTATAACAAACTAATGGTTATAACGAAATAATTACGACCGCTCCTTCAACTTTGTTATAACGAGGTTTTACTGTATATATTTTGTTTCCCGTATGGATCTGCATGATGACAAAAAAAATGGGTATTGTTTACCTGTGTTTTGTTCAAAGTGATTGTGTGACCAAGGTATTTTGCTTATTTGAGCTGCCATTTGAGCTGCCACTCCTCGAAGTGACTGGCTCACAGTAAGGAGCGTTGTTACTTGTTCGTTGTACTGTCATCGCCTCCTTTTTTATTGAATATCCTGCACTCATAAGCTGTTGTGGACAGAGGAAACAGCCATTTTACTGCAGTTGGTCGCATCCATTCATGCACCCAAATGGCAATACCCGAAATGTCTCTGCATGCAAGTCTTGGGGCATATTAAAGGGACCGTGAAATGATTTCTCAACTTCTTCCTCCTTAGCCTTAGTTCTCAACTCAATTCTCATTTCGGTCGTGACGTGCTTGGGCACCGGGTGCAAAGACTCCAAGCTTCAACCGTGCTATTTAAGCAAACCAAGGAACTCATTCACAAGTGATTATACAGGGTGTCTTAAATAGCAGCCAGGCTCTTTAAATCGACCACAACAATTGGTTTCTTAACTTATTGCGCTACGATTTTGCGCATTATTGCCCAATGGTGATGCATTTTTTTCTATAAAATTTGCAAAGAGCGAACTTGCCTGAGGAAAAAGTAAAAAAAAGAAAAAGGCTTAACTCCTATGGAAGCATAGTGAAGCCACCGGTCTTCAAGATTTCTGGGTTTGCTGCATTTATTTCAAATTTTCTTACAGAAAAGCAGGCTTTTGGCTCTCTGCCCTCGCGTACAAGGTTTCTTTTGGCGCACTAAATGATACGCGATTAGTAAAGTCCCAATTTATCCCTTCCCAAAATTCATTCCATGGTCCCTTTAAAAAGATCCCTCGGAACACGAGGGTTGGCATAAGATGGAGGGAGTGAGCTTGAAAACTGGCATCAGGATATCTGGGCAACAGTAGGGGAAGTAGGAACATATGGCAGGCAGATATGCAGTCTAACCTTGTAGATGTACGGATTGCGCAAGACGGGTATTTCGATGGAATACAGTAGCTCCGCCTTCAGCGGGAGCTTTCTGCTTTCAGTATACACTTTAGGGTTTTGTGAGCACGTCCTGACAAAGCGCTACCGAAGACGTACGAGCCTCTGCTGGAGGCAGAGCTTCTAGCACATTCTTCGTTTGTGTCTTCATGCGGTGGAGCAGCTATCGGCACATGCTCACTGCCCACAATGTGTGTGGGCAATCGCGGACCTTTCTTGTTTGGGGCCACGACGTGTTATGGACAAAGACATTCAGAGCTGTAGTTGGTGAGGTAAAGAGTTCAGTGGAAACTCCTCCCACCCCTTTCCACTTCAGCAGAAGGATTTCTGGAGAGGAGATAACCTCCTCTCCAGCCTTCGTTCTGCTAAAGTGGGAAAGAGGTGCGAGTAGGCTCTTGACCTGTCACCGACTGTAGATATGCGGACATAGTGGTGCGTGCAGAGATAGGGAGACGAAGTACAACTCCTACATTTCTGAAACCGTCAACGTTCAACTTGTACTTTTTTTTTTATCGCGAAGAGTTTATGTATACAATGTTCCCTCCGGTGACAAAAATAAACATATGTAAAATCATTCCAGCCGATTTGTGAATGCAACGTTCACATAGCTCGTGGACAATTTGCTGTGGCTATGGCCTTTACACGCGCACTCCTCTCCTAGAAAATGCCACGGACCGTTGCGTTGTGCACAAGCATAGATGGAATGTTATTTTTTTTGTTCTTTTTTTTTCGGGTGGGGCTTGTAAAAAAAAAAAACATTTGCAATATTTTGTTTTGGGGAGGAGGGGGGGGGGGGGGGGGGACAGCGTTTGACGAAGTGTAGTTTCTTGCAGTGAAAAAAGAAAGACTGGTAAAACGGGGGATCTGATGATATCCTTTTTTCATTTATTAAAAGCTTAATTATATTTCAGGTAATTATTTTCCTAATTAGTATGCTTCCTTGCAATCCCTTGCAGTATGTTCCCGAAAGGATTTCCTTTTTTCTCGAACACCCTATTTTTAAGGATGCTTGAAATTAATTAATAAATTATGTAATTATCAGCGGTCATGTTGCTGTCGCAGTTTTGACGGCAATTACTATTGGACGCCAGACCAATAGGCCACTTTAAAAATCCCTCCAAGCAACACTGCGCGCGTTGCACGTTGGCAATCAGTTGGCCAAAAAGCGCATTGACGTGGTTTCGGTTTCGATCAGACAGCCGTTGTGGCCGCTGTCTGTACTCCTGCAGCCAAGCTCGCGAACTACCAAGCCTGCATAACTTTTCTTCACGCGCATGCGAACGTACTTGCACAACCTTGCACGACAGGGACACCAGCAAGGACGTTGCAATCTATCTACATTTGCCTACCTTTGCCCAAAATCCGGCACATCGGGAACCACAAAAACAGTGCCATGTGTTTTTTTTTCGGTATTTCTCTGCAACGCCAACAGTATTGTACACTTGTGGGAAGTCGCAGCAATGAAAATGCAAGCAGCGTATGCAGTCACGACACGATGATCATGACGAAATCTGAAACTGCAACCAAAACTAAGTGGCCAACTGGTATCATGCCATCGCACCACCAGGGGCTAGTTATGTGGCTAGTTATGTGGAAATGTATCAATACCTCAAAAACCATTACATTTTTGCAAATTCTTTCAACTGGTCTGACCCCTAATTGTAATTCTCGTCTATACTGAAATTGCAGCATGGCCCTTAAAACCAATAATTAAAAATTTTAATTAATATATTTTATTTAATTGGTCAATTCATCGTGATCCTCATCCTCATGTAATGCCCCCCCGAGCCCAAAGTTCAGACTGATAAATACACATTGAAGATGACGGCACTAACTCTCACCACCATTTTTCTAAAAATCTGCTCGAATTAAAAACAAACCCCCTGTATATGTTTGTTTTCACCTCAATTCAGACATGGTTTTTAGATCGAACTTTTAGTTTTGACAAAAAGAAAAATGTATTTTGGAGAAATTCTCGATTTTAAAGACGGCGCAAACGGCAAACTTGGCGGATATTTTTGTTTTTGTTTTCTAGTTGTTGACAATTGAAGAGGCCGTGGCGAAAACTGACGCGTTGGTCTGTTCCACCTGTCAGGGACCACATATTTGACTGCTCGCTATTTTGTCACTTCTCGCACTACTATACAGGTACTCTTCTGTGACACTGCATAATACAGTTCGTTACACCTAACGAATTAGAAAAAAAAAAAAAAAAAGTCTTGCATTTTATAAGAAGTTAGAAAAAAGAAAAATGTTGAGCTATCTGCCTTTGATGATTTTCGGGAAAGTTTGGCAAGTTCTTACGTGTGACCTTTTTACTATACAGGGTGTCCCCCAAAAACATTTACCAGTTTTTTGTTGTTGTTTTTCATCGCAAAGATGAACTACACATCGTGTAGCGCTCAGTTATTGGTGATTTTCTAAAAAAAACTTATGGAAAATTGGCGGCCGGCGGAGCTATCGAATACATGGAGCTCTATGGCGTCAGAAACCGAAAACGGGCAAAAATAAGCCCCGTTTCCCAATGAATTTTTTTTTTTTTTTTTTTTTTCAGAAAATCACTTATAACGTTTGAATAAAATATATGCTTGTGCTGAAACTTTGGCATATGTTTCGGACCTTGGGCGGAGAATGACCATTCGGCGATGTGATATAGTTTACTTTTGCAGTGAAAACGAAAAAAAAAAAAAATCCCTGTAAACTTTTTGGGGGATACCCGGCATTTTAATGACCTTGATGTCAGCGGAAAGATTAAGCTTGGCTTTTTTTATAACATACCAATTCAATATTATGTGTACTCTATAACATTTGTTATATACGTTTGAATATGCGAATGTTTAAAAAAAAAACTAGAAAATCTAAAACCAATTTTTTCCAAAAGAAACAATATTTTATTTGCTTTACTTTTATGACACTTCTTTATTTGCAAGGTATACAATGATGTATCATAAAATATAAATATAATATATTGTACTTTGTTTATATGACCGGGATCAAATGAATCGTGTAAATGTGCATTGTAAGCAAGCTTTGCTGCGGAGTAAACTAACTTTCACTCCCGGATTACGAACAATTTCAATTCTTTTTAAACTTACACGTTAAGTTGTATTAATTTTTGGGCAATTAACCATATCCATACCAAAAAAGTAACCAGAATACGTGTGCGAGGAGGATGCAGTCACAACGCACAACCAAATACTTTACTAGGGGGAATACATTCCACTCCTCTCAAATACAATAGGGTGTTTTCACTGACGTAATTTTGTCCCCCATTTTGTTGTTGTGAGCTGTTTGTCGTGTGCCGAAGACAAACATTCCACGGATTTACATGACTCTTTAAATGCGTAGAGCACAGAAGCTTATAAGTCTTACCAAACTGACATCTCCTTAACAGGTTGCGATGTAATCGTAAATATGAGTAAATTTGTTTGAAAAAAGAAACTAACAACAAAATGGCGGATTCGCGTCATATGAAGACACACTATAGCCTCGGCGCGGACAGGTTTTCTGGGCTTGGCGAGAGTCGTCTATCGTAGGGGAGGTCTCGGCTATCGGGCGCTAAATGATGATGATGATGTTGGTTGTTCTACATACCAAATTAATTGTTGTGGAAATGCTCGAGACACGTGCCGCACGCCACTTTTAGGGAGAACATGGCGTCTAAAATCTAGCTCAGTGCTGCGCCAAATACTTTGCTGCGCTGTGCCGCCATGATCTTCCCAAGGGTTGCACGTTGCACGTGCCTCGTGCATCGACGCACCTTGCGCTACTTTTGAAACATGGAGGGGCTTTAGGTGGAATCGGAGACGACACCGCCGCGGTTGCCGCGAACATCCACGTGCACATGCGCGTGGATTGACACGGATCCCCCCTCCGTCAGGTCTGGATTCGGCGCCGTAGGCGTTCTGTCTAATGCAAATGAGCGGAGTGGAATGTATTACCCCTAGCAAAGTATTTGGCACGACTGACAAGATTCAAGGTTTAGTTGGGTCATACAAACAAAATGCAATATTTTCTATTTATATTTTTGATAAATTGCAATGATACCTTGCTGCTAATAAAACACAAGCAAACCACGAAAGAACTTGCAAAACTTCGACAAATATAATCAAAGGGACACAGCGACATTTCTTCTTCCTCCTCTGTCCTTCTCAACACAAAAGCGAAATCAGAAATCACGTGGTCATGATGTAGTATTTCATCGGAGCCGGAAGTTCTCCCAGCCGTCTTACCCCCCATTCACACTGGAAGCGGATCCGCGTTCGCGAAGCGGTTGCGAACGCGGTTGTATAAAGATCCAGTGCAATTGCACGCGCATTTGATGTCATCAAATGCGCGTGCAATTGTACTGAATCCTTATACAACCGCGTTCGCAACCGCTTTGCGAACGCGGATCCGCTTCCAGTGTGAATGAGCCCTGAGGGTCGGCGAGGTCTGCCTATAGGGAGTATTCACTGGCGGCCATAGCTGTGTGCGTGAATGCTGAGCGCGTGCTGACGGCGAGCTTCTGCAGTTCTTTTGCAACGTGCATTCCGCACCATCAAGAGTGCCGTTCTTAGCAGCCTATTGATGAGAGCTCGTTCTGAGCATGCGCTCTAAACAGCACCCACAAATATGGCGTCCAGTGAATACTCCCTATAGTTACTAAATGAGCTACGCTTAGCGTATCGGCACTCTGTTCCCCGATATTGTTGTGGGCGCGCCGCCGTCTTGGTGCTTAGTACAGAGCAGGCGCAATTGCCGATCGTCATGATTCGAAAGTGCGACTTCCTCAGAATTAGATTGGCTGTTAAGAAGTTCATGTGATATTGCTTTGCTCTGTCGCTAACTGTTCAAACATTTCGTAAAGGTCGGAAAATATTACTTGAAGTAACACAAAGTAAATGAAAGGTTAGGCACTTCAAGTAAAGTAGCACGTCCACTTGACGCAATGCGCTTGAAGTAAATTACCATAAATTCAATGTACTTTTAAAGTACCAATACTTTTTGACTGGTACTGGCTCAGGGGTAGTCGGACGTGAATCAGATATTTTCGGAAATTGCGGCGAATATTTAATGAAGTCAAGTTGCCACAGAGCAAATTGTTTTACTCTCGCTGGCAAACTTATAAGGAGCTTATTTGTATTGGTCTTATAGCCACCATTACTTTACTCATAGAAATTACCAGATGATGTCTCGAAAGACGATAGCGCGTTTTCACGTAACGATACGTCATTTTCTTTTTCTCCGAGTCAGGGGAATGTATTTTTAAATCGGGAGTTGTACTTTCCTCGGAAAGTACCACAAAAGAATACTTCTGAAGTGCAAGTACACACTCAGAGAATGTTCTTCAAAGTACACGATTTCCAAACATACTTGAACTGGTAGTTTAAGTACAATGCACTTAAAGAATTTCCCAACACTGGTCTGATGCAATCGTCAATAAATGCTGAGCAGCGACAACCCTCCAACCCTCTTGCCGAAGCGGTCGGCCTTCCATGACTGACCAATCTGACTAATTTTGCTTTCATCCACGTAAATAAGAGTAATATAAGATTGTCAACTTTGACGGTGTTGGTTTCGGAATGCGTTGAC